ACGGGAAAAGTCAGGAAAGTGGAGTTGGAGATGATCAAATCAGCCTCGATCTCATTAATGGCAGAGCAGGCTCAGTGGGCTGAGGGGCCTACTTCTGCTCCCATGTTTTTTGGGTGTTTTTTCTTTGGGTCAAAAGGCATTGAAGGCAAAGGTGAGAATGCCAAAAATGAAAGGTGCAAATTGCTGGGAGGGATTTATTCTCCCAGTTCAACCTCACAATGGAACCATGTCCTGGCTGCCAAGACTGAAAGCACTTTCATGACAGAACATCCACCTCCATGCGATAGGGGAAGGATTAGCCTCGTGTTTGCAGCCACAGTAAGTGGGTGAAGCTTGATCTGTTCTCACCACTGTGTCTAACCCACTGACACTGAGCAGGTTAGGTGTGTACTCACCGGAGTTCGGAAGAATGAAAGGCGATATTTGTGAAACATAGAAGATTCTTCAGGGATGTGACAGGGTAGATAGGAAGAGATTGCTTTATCTAATGCGGGAGACACAAGGAGTAGTCGGCATAATCTCAGAGAAGGGGGTCATCTATTTAAGACAAAGATCCTATCCTAACTCCAACCCTAACCCTCACCCTCCACGACCACCCCACCCTATCCCGACATTCCCTCAGAGAGCTCCCTGCTACTTCTACACACTTTGTTGGGGAATGCAAGGTTCATGAGCTGGCTTCTCCTCCAGTTATCCTACCATCAACATGGTGCGGAGGCAAGAATAGAGAATGAATGAAACACAGATGACCTGGTCATGAAATGGTGTGCAAAGGAAGCTTTGGTGACCTGAGAGAAAAAAAAATCTTGTTCACCCAGTGAGCTTTTGGGCTCTGGAATGGACTGCCTGGAAATGTGTTGGGGTTGGATTTAATGGAGGCATTCAAAAGGGACACTGGATGGTTATCTGGATAGAAACGCTACGCAGGGACATGGGAGAAAAGCAGGAGAGTGGCACCAGGGAATAGCACGATGGGCCAAATAGCCTTGTTCTGTGCCCAAAATATGCTGTGATCCCACTATCCCCACCATATGTCTGTTTCCAAATGTTGACAGTGCAACTTGGCCATTGAAGGGGTTACTGCAGGCTGTCATGCACTTTGGAACAACTGCATGGTGCAAAAAAGCCAGCTATTTGGAAAGGTAGCTGTTGGGATGAGGATGGTTTGAGACAACCTGCAACATGCTCACCAGTTGTTCAGCAGTGTCCTAGGCTCCTGCTTTCAGGCCCTGTTGGGTGCGGCTGTTTGTTTTCTCTCTTTCTCTCTGCTCATGGAGTTCCAATCTTCAGGAATTACATGTTCCTGTGAAGTGTCAGTGACATTCTCTATATAGAAAGGTAATCTCGCAGTTTAGTGGGCCCTGTGTACACAGCTCATTTCATCAGAACTCTGGACTGGAAACATTGATTCTATTTCTCTCTCTCTCTCCACAGATGCTGCCAGACCTGCTGAGTTTCTCCAGCAATTTCTGTTTGCCGTAGATTGGAACCCATGCTTAAAGTCACCACCACACCTTTTCAAACCAGGCTCCCTGGATCGGGAGGGAATGAGAGGGGAGAGGAAGGAGAGCTGGGCAGCATATAATAGGTCTTCCACATCTACAGACCGATGGCACTGTGAACTGGTTTTTCACCAAACTACATTTGCTTTGTCTCTCTGTCAGTCTCGCCAGAGTGCCCCAGCATCAGTTCAAGAGGTGCCCAGCTGAATGGAGTATCTTGCAGGGGCTGACCAACAGGGGCCATCACTTGCTGGGGGTCACTTCAATGACTAATACCTCAATTTGCAACATCACAACCTGATTATCCATCCAGGTCGTAGCCTTGTGCTCATGAGCAGGTGGTTTATGGAAAAGCACCTTCTTTCTTCACCTATTACATCTGTGGGCCTCGCCGGTTGGGCCTAGTGTTTAAGGCCCATTCCTGGCTGCTCTTGAGAAGGTGGGGGTGAGCTGCATTTTTGAATTACTGCAGTCCACGTGCAATCCACGTAGACCCACAATGCCCTGAGGAAGAGAATTCCATGATTTGGACCCAGCTACAGTAAAGGAATGGCAATGTACGTCAGGATGGTGAGTGGCTGGGAGGGGAACTTTCAGGAGTTGGGGTTCCCATGTATCTGCTGCCCTTGTCCTTCGAGATAGAAGTGGTCGTGGGTTTGGAAGGTGCTGTCTAAGGTGAATTTCTGCTCTGCTGCTACGGACCGTTGGTAGGTGGTCGAGGGAATGGATATGGTGGCGAAAGGCTACCCCTCTCACTGATGCAACTCAGTGGCTTTCCAAGCCCCTTGAGAGGGTAGTTGATGTCACTGGCGGGTGTGGGTGATTGGGGAACGGGCACCTATCGGACATTAATAAACCATTGGAATCTTTTTGACAACCCTCTAGCTCCCGAAGCAGTTTCTGTCAGACAGAAACAAACACTGAGCTCTCTGAGGAGTGGAGGGGTCAGGGTGGTGGAGGGCTGAACTATGATGTTCAAAATGACATGGTACAGCTCAGAATGGGCATTGCAGTGATACTCGGTGGGGAGGCAATGGCCTACTGATATTACTGTTGGAATGTTAATCCAGAGACCCAGATAATGTTCTGGGGACCCAGGTTCAAATCCTGCCATGGCAAATAGTGGAATTTGAATTCAATATAATATCTGGAATTAAGAATCTAATGATGACTATGAATCCATGGTCAATTGTAGGGAAAAACCCATCTGGTTCACTAATACCCTTTAGGGAAAGAAACTGCCATCCCTACCTGGTCTGGCCTACATGTGACTCCAGACCCACAGCAACGTGGTTGACTCTTAACTGCCCTCTGGGCAATTAGGAATGGGCAATAAATGCTGCCTGGTCAGTAACGTCCTCATCCCGTGAATGAACAAAAACGGAGATGAGGAATGGAGGCATGACCATTGAGGGTGAAGGGGGAATGCAAACAGGGAATCGTGATAAAAAGATTCACTGAGGCAGCTTCTATTCTTAAATCAGTCCCAATGATCCTGTGCAAATCATTTCTGGGGATCTGCTTTGAGCTGGAGGTGCAAGGTAAGGATGTGAATGTTTACAATCTGACTCCACCAAGGAGCCAAGAGTCCAAGGGAAGAGTCAGATTGGACTCATAGAATTTCCTGCTCTGTATCTCTTGCTCTCTCTCACATACACCACTCCCTCCTATGTCTTTCTTCCACATACACTATCATCCTGTAACTCTCTCCCTCTGTCTTGCACACAATCTGTCTTGTTTATCTCTCTCTCTCAACACATACTCTATTACTTCTGTATCTCCCTCTCTCTCCAACAGACTCTCTTTCATACCTCTGTGTCTGTCTCTCTCCTCTCTCATACACACACACATTCACAATCTCTCTTGTATCTGTCCCTCTCTCTCACACAAAATCTCTCCTGTATCTCCCCCGTCTCACAAGCACACAGTGCTTCCCGTATCTCTCAGACACACACACACACACACACATGCAATAGAGTCACAGTGTCAAAGAGCTTTACTGCACAGAAAAACATCCTTCAGCCCATCAAGTCTTTACCAGTCCAAAACAACTTCCTCGCTATTTTAATCCCATTTTCCAGCACTTGGCCCATAGCCTTTATGTCTTGGCATCATAAGTGCACATCTAAATACTCCTTCAATGTTATGAGGGTTTCTGCCTCTAACAGCATTACAAGCAGTGAGTTCCAGATTCCCGCCACCTTCTGGGTGAAAAAGATTTTCCTCACATCCCCTCTAAACCTCCTGTACCTTCTCTTAAATCTGTGCACCCTCCCACGTCATTGATGCCTCCACCAAGGGGAAAACTTTATTCTTGTGCAGCCTGTCTATACCCCTCATCATTTAATCCATCTCAATCATGTTCCCTCTCAATCCCCTCTCTCCTCAGGTAAATAGCCCCAGTCTGTCCAATCTCTCTATATCACTGAAACTCTCCAGCCCAGGCAACATCCTGGTAAATCTCCCTCTACACCCTCTCCTGTGCTATCACATTCCCTCCGATAATGTGGATTGCAGAACCTGCACACAGTACTCCAGCTGTGGCAGAGCCAACATTTTATGCCATCCCAGCATTAGCTCCCTGCTCTTAAACTCTACACCTTGGCTCAGAAAGGCCAGTATCCCACATACCTCTGAACCACTTTATCGACGAGTCCCAATAGCTAAGGGATAGGTGTGCTTACACATCAGAGTCCCTCTGACCAAACTCTGAACTATTAACATCATTACTCCCCCAGCACTCCAAACCACCCCCACCTTCCACTCTCGCCCCCTTCCACACTTCACTTCAGCTCTGATGAAGAGTCATTTAGACTGGAAACGTTAGCTTGCTCTCTCTCCACGGATGCTGCCTGACTCGCTGTGATTTCCCAGCATTTGTTGTTTTCAGTACAGATTCCAGCATCTGCAGTAAATATGCTCCCTTTGAGCTTGGGTGCCTTCCAGGGTCCTACTGTTTATCACATATTCCCTTGCCTAGTTTGTCCTGCCCAAGTGTATCACCACACATTTCTCTCCTGTATCTCTCCCTCTCTCACACACACGGTCAATCCTGCATCTCTCCCTATCTCTCTCACACACGCACATAGAGGCTGCAATCTCAGCTCTTGTTTCCAATGTTCACATCCCCCTGTCTGAGTGTGGTGTAGGGGGGCGGGGAGGGTGTCAATTCCAGCGCAAGCTGATAGATCGGGCCGCATTCTCTCAGGAAGTCGGGATGTACCTCACCTCGCACCCGCACAGGGTACGGGCTCAGGGAAAAGGGCGCCTGAGCTAACTTGCAATGTGTGTGTGCCTCTGACTCTGCCTGACTGGGCTGTGCGCTTGCGTTACTGACTCCAGGTCAGTCATTCCGCGCATTCTGAATGGACGGCTCTGGGAACATGCCTGTCATTGGGTAGCTGGCATTCAGCTTCCGATTGCTCCAAGATTTTCCCCGGGATAACACTTGTATAAATATGCTGCCCGGAGCGTGCCACACACACTTACACATACACGCTGTGTACACATGGTGTTGCAAGTACACGCTTAGTCCGCAGTAACATACACACATACCACACAGAGACAGAGAGAGGAGAAAGGGGAAAAGGTGAACAGTTTGCAGTGAGCTCAGGGCTATCTCTTGCAGCAATGCTTCACAGACTGACTCTCCTCGTTGTTGTGCTGTCCATCCAGCTCGGTCCATGGACTCTCGGTACAGCAGCTGACGAACTGGCCTCGCTCATGGAGGAGAAGAACACCTCACTGACATCTCGGAGGATGAGACTGGCTGCACAGAATTCAGGTAAACTTGTTTAGCGCCTTTCTTCCCCACCCCGCATCACGCAGAAACCTCGCCTCGCCTCTCCTTGTCCCTGTAATTTGCACTTTCCAGCCCCACTCACTTGCATTGCAGCAGCGCAGCTTCCAGCTGCAGGTATATCTGTTCGGGTTTTGTAACTCCATGCCCCCTTTTCTACATCTGTCTCAGCTGCTCTGCACCTGGAGCAGGCGAATCGGCTTCACACTTGGTTCACTGTCTGGACCACAGAAACACTCGGTTCATCATTGCCTCCCTGCTGAACCCAGTGCCTGCTATTGGTTCCTGGCAGCAGCGATCACTTCCCCCCCGCCTCCCAGCTCAAACTGAGAGCTTTCTCAGCGGGAAAATGTTTCGCCCTGTCGTGACATTTAGTCCCTAGGCGCTTCATTCTTTTAAAAAAAAGTAACTTTTCCGGAAAAAAAAGGGGGTGGGGAGATTGTTCAAGTGACGACCTGCTACGTGGGGCAGCAACAAGGATGTTTGACACTACAGGGTGTGTGTTTGAAGGGGTCTGCACTGAGATTTAAACAGTCTGGAGGATAGCATTAGGACATTGGAGCTTGTCATCTGTAGGACTAAGGTACATGTGTATGTGTTGGTCAGCTTGTGCGTGTCAGTCTGTTTGTTTATGTGCCTGTGTGGGTTAGTCTGTGTGTGTCTGTGTGAATGTGCCTGTGTGTCTGTATCTGTGCATATATGTATCTGTATCTCTCTGTATGTCTGTAAGTTTGTGTGTAATGTGCAATGACAGTTGAAAAATTTTTGTCAAATGTTCACAAGAAAAACCTAACAAACAAAATTCAGAAGTGGCTCCTGTGATTTCAGTGCTGTCCGAGAGGTGCAGTTCTGTTTTGTGTTACTGAGTCCTGGACGGTTTAGTTTGGCTGCTTGCTAAGATTGATTAACAGATTTGATTGTTGTCACTTTATCGAGATAGAGTGAAAAGTGTTGTTTTGCGTGCTCTATGGGCACATTATACCAAGTGCATTCAGGTAGCTGAAGAGGGTGCACACTACAGTGTTACAGCTGCAGAGAAGGTGCAGAGAGAGACACAGAGAGAGATCAGAATTAACATTTGAGAGATCCATTCAAGACCACACAGTACCTGACTGTGACTTATCTGAGAAATGACATCAAACGCTCTCCCAAAACACTGGTTTGGGGTCACTGGGTGGGGATGAGCTTTTCTTTGACCAGACCCTTACTACAAAATGTTCCTTTAGTGGTGCATTGGGGCCACAGCAAGAAGAAGAATCATTTTTTTTTAAATATGGTATTATTAGTAGCATTTCAGTGGATCACAGTGGTACTGCTCCTGCGGCTGTTCTCGGACAGAATGAAGTCTATCGGGTGTGTGGTCACCAGTGCGGGGTCCATGCTAGCTTTAGCTCATTTATGAGAATGCCCCTCAGAGGCTTCCATGTGAAATCTCAATTGAAAGCCCCCCTGGGACTGGGGCAGTGCCGCATTCCCAGAACTACCAGCTTCACAACCAAATATTAACCCAAGACCACGTCTGCTCTCCGAGCTGGTGGGAGGGAGGAAAAGAAGGGTAGAGAGAGAGAGAGAGAGAGATCCCCTGACCTATACTCAGATCACTTTGGGAGCTAACACCATTTTCTGGTGAGTATTTATCCCTTAATAAATACCAGGCAAAGCAGCCAAGATCTGCTCCTTGATCTGCTCGCACAGTTTGTGGAAGCTTGCCGTGCAGAAGTGGTTTTATCTGACTGCACTTCAATCCCCCCTTCAGTCACTGAAAATGATTCGGAGTAGGAAGGGAGATTGCAATAGGGAGCTTGTATAAACTGTGTGCTGCTTTGAACCATTCGGATTCTGTGAGGGATGGACCACAATGGATTGGACAATGATAGTTGACGTGAGAGCAGCAACAGAAAGTAACAAAAGCCTGAATTGCATTGCAGATTCTATTGTGGGCAATTTGCCACTTGTGTGTTCTTTCATCTTTCATGTGCTTTGCACAGGGGAGAGATAGAAGGAGAGGGAGCCTTCTCCATTAACTGCAACAAGAAATGTGTTCAGAAGAAGTGTTGTAACCCCTTCATTGCTGTGACCATCAAGAACAGGTTCTCTTCCACATTTTGCAGAAAAGAGTCTTTTTTTTGCTCTCTCAACACAGCAACCTTACACACACACCCACTCAAGATGTACAGGGACGACTGAACAAGAGGTGGCATCCAATTACGATTTTTAAAGAGTTCAGAAAAGTCTTTGTTACACACGAATCTTGCCATGTGGAAACTGGAAATGCTGCCAATCTGAAGATTCTGTTTTAGTTCAGAAAGGAAATAGAGATAGGAGGTCTCTGGTGGTTTATAGTTGCAGCAGCAGAGTAGGAAATTGTCTCCAGTCCATGTTCAGCCAAGCCTCTGCCTTAAAGATCTGACTTGGTCCTTCCAGTCACTTGGTGAATGAATGGCCCCACCTCTCAGCCTTTCTTAGATTTCTCAGCACCGTGATTTTGTTTACTGGGTGGAAACTCTTCCCTCTGAGAATCTCGGTCTGCCAGGCTAACCAACACAATGCTGTCCTCATCAATCTGCAAACAAATAGTTCTCATCACAAGCTGGTTTCTGTCAGGGGGACCAGAGGACCTGTTTTGACTTCACCCCCACCCCCATCCCCATTGTCCAGACAAGTGGTCCATGAGCAGGAGTAGGCCATTCAGCCCCTCGATCCTACTCCACCAGTCACTCGGAACATGGTTGATCCAACACCACTCCTGCCATCCACTTACCTGCATTTTTCCTATCGCCCTTGATTGCACTGCTCATCAAGAAGCTCTCTCTCTCTCTCTGGCAGAGACTTCAATGTACACAAAGAATTGATACACAATGGGGATTTGACTTTTACTTATTGGTATCTCCTTAAGATAGAATGTGCTCTCTACACATTTAACTCTGTGAATTCCATACGACAGATAATAAAGCTACAGAGTTATTGTTCACTTGTGGCAGTAAAGGTCTTTGGACAATAGCAGCTATTAAAACACACAGGAAAGATCTATTGTATTTTTATGTTTTTCATGTTTGGAAAAAACCAACCTTGTTCACATGTTCAGATCGTACTATGTAAGCAGGATAACCTCCAGGCATGGTCACTTTGATAAGATAGATAAGAGAGAAGCTCAGCTGACCTCTCAACCCCATGGTGTTTCAACAAAGACTGTCCTTTCTTTGTGTTTTGCAATGGAAGCTGCTCATTTTCCAGAAATCTGTGGGTGAAACCACGCAGGCCTGTCTACAGTGGTCTTCTCACATTAAGACTAAATGTTGTCTTTAGATGTTAGGTTAGAGAGTGGGTGGATTTCACATGAAGGACTCCTAGACTCAGCATGGATCCCTGGCCTCGAGCGTCCAGGTGAAGCCTGGTGCAGACTGGAGGCTAGGTGCTGGTGCAGACTGGGTTGGAAGGACTGGTATTCTGAACTTCTTATTTCTTTAGTTTTCTAATTACTTTTCCCCCAGAATTTGTTCTTAAGAATCTGTACCTAGCCATCTTTGTACCTAAGATGGCACCGTAAGTGGCGACATGTAAACTTTTCACTGTACTCATGTGAGTGCATGTGACAATAAAGCTAATCTTAATTAAGGTAGGCGGATATGATTCTGTCCTTCATCCTTTAGAATTGTTTGTGTGCATATTTGATACTGCCTCTGTTGATATTTTGTCATCAATCTGTTCTGAAATGTGATGAAACACCTCTGGAATAGGTGGGACTTGAACTCAGGCCTCCTGGCGCAGAAACTAACTGCCACTGTAAACCTGTCATGCTGTTATCTCTCTCTCTTGTGACACATGTGCTGGAGTGTCTCCACAAACATGTAGGTATAATTACAGACTTGGCAATTTCCAATTGTCATGACAGGATGAATCAATAAAAGTAAACACTAATTAGAAGTGCTCACAGATTTAGTTTACTGATGGATTCAGAAAACAAAAGCATTGTGACAAGTGGCATGATTTCTGTGTATAATTCCTGTCTGTTACACTTTAGCTATCACACTCACCATTGTTTCTTTACCTTCAGACATATGACGTTTCCAATAACACAAGATACCAGAGTCAGAATATCTACAGTCCATCCCTCAGACCTGCATGAATTCTTCCTGGTTTCCCTACCTTTATAGTGTGACTTCACACCCTTGAGTAGATACTTTTCACTCTCCACTGCGTTTTCGGAACAGGGGGCTGAGTGACCTGTTAATTGTATTATACATTGCAATTCCTCTATACAATGCATCCTGGGGCTTACTCCCAGTACCGTGCTGAAAATGATATACACTGTCATACTGCCAGTATTGTACATGGCAATGGAATGGAACAGAACACGATCAACATGGGGTTCAGGATCTGAGTGAACTGAGCAAAAACACTTCCTTCGTAAGCAACAATGCCAGGCATTTCATCCAGGCTTCTGGCTTGTAGACTGAAGAGCACCTGAGCTCTGAGTGACACCACCCAGCTATGGACATGGTGGTTATGAAAGAGCACTGTCTCCTTTGCATCAGCAGCAGGTTACTGTCTGATGGATTACAAGCTACCCTTTGTAAAATAACTGACCTAACTTGACAATACTGGAGTTACACGTGATAAAATATTATGTGCCTGTCATTGTGTTACCCCGTAATGAAAGGATCTTTCTTGTAAGGAAGGGGCATTTAAAAAATGACATGCACCTTGAAATTTACAAATAATTGCAACTGTTCCCTCACTGATTTCAAGATTATTATGAGCTCCAGTTATTGGACCTTCCCTAGATTGAGCTGTTAAAAGTTCAGCCTGGGTTAAATCAGTCCATGTTAAAAGCTGAATATCTTAAATCTACTCAAATGCTGAGATTATCTCTGGTCACTGCCACAAGGAGTTCCTCGAAGCTTCGAATAAAGACCTGGAAAAAAAAAACTTATGAGTCTTTCCTGCCCGGCTTGTTTGCTCTCACCAGGTATTGGGATAAGTGGTGGAACATGTCTGCATTCTGAAATTCCACCCCAAACACTGCTCCCACCTACACCCCCACACGCAAAGGCACACAAAACATCACCCCTTTACTGGGCTCCCTACTCACTTCTCTATGTCTGCTGCTGATAGGGCATGGCCCAAAGTTGCAGCCTAGGAAAACTGGGATTAAGGCAAGAATAGTTTCAGCTGCCTTGTTGAGGAAGTGTTATTGTGATTGGCGCAGTTGGAGGTGGTGGTGGTGGGGGAGTGGGAGCGGGGGGGTTGAGATAATTAATAAATCCAGCCATATACCTCCTTCAGTTATTTTAGCTCACTGCTCCCTGTTGAATTTTCAATGACAGATTGAAATGACTGGGCCTATATTCACAAGGGTTTAGAAGGTTGGAAGCGGATCTGATTGTAATGTATCAAACTCTAACAGGGCTGGACAGGGGAAGTCTAGAACCGGGGGGACACAGTCTCAGGGAGGTAACAGAGAAGACCATTTCAGCCTCACATCAGGAAATATTTCTTCACTGAGAGGGTGGTGAGTGTTATAAAGTTGGGGAAGAGTACTTGTGGATTGGGAGACAGGAAGTTAGAATTTGGTGCTTGTAAAATGTTAAGTGCATGGTCCCTTTAAAAGATGCTGTGCTTAGTGATTCAAAAAGGATGTCTGTGGGCAACAGTATATGGGCTTGCAGGTGCACAGAGAGCACTCAAATTGAAACATTTGTATTAAAAGGACATACAGTTAGCAGGCCAAGCAGCAGTTTTGTTTTGTGACCAAGGCAACAAGTTTGGAATTTAGCCAATCAATTTGAATCCAGCACTGAGATGTCAAAAACCAATTAAATTTAAATCTGATGGTTTTGACAACAGAGGAGCAATTTTATTGTAAGAAATTGATGTGTCATCAAGGGTATAAGAGTGCAGTTGGACAAAGAGAGGAGAGTTAACTGCCATCTGCCAGAGTTTACAGCTCTCAAGAGAATTGCTGGCTCTCATAGCATTCTCTAAGCATTAGAAAAAGCACCATCTGAATCAAAGGTACCAACGGCACAACTAGTTAATATTCCTGACAGAAAAATCAACAGAGAAGATGTTCCTGACAGAACGCTCAACAGAGAAGGCACAGGGCATTCAGGAAGACATGTAATTTGGCGGTAGCTTCGAGAGACTAAATTCTACTTTTTTTTATTTTATACAAGTGGGACTTGTATTTATTGCAACAGCAAACCATGAGAATCTTGTTTTATTTGGGGATAGTTAGCAGTTAGGTGGGGTTTATTTGATTTGTTGATAGTTTAGTTAATTTGCTCACTGTTAGAATTAGATAAATAAATGGTTACTTGTTGATTGTAAAGTGAATGTCAGGGATTTATTTTATTTAACCAATTGAAGTTGCTGAAAGGCAGGTTACACCACTTTTCACACTTCTTTTACAGATTATAGGGCGAGGCGCTCCTCTTTGGGTGTTTCGATTTTAGTTCTCGGGAGGGCAACCTCCGCTTTATAACATTAGCCTGTGGAATTCCCCATAGGCCAGGCCACTGAATACAGTCAAGAAAGAGAGGGATGCATTTCTAGATTTTAAAGGCATGAAAGGGTTCAGAGAAAGCAGGAATATGGCACAGAGACAAAGGATCAGACATGATCTCATTGAATAGCCTCCACCTGCTCTTAGTTTCTATCCCTCATGAGGGACGAGGTTTGCTGATGTGCCCCACAATATCCTGGAGTTTCCAACAGTCTCCTGGACACTTGTGTAAGCAAGCAGGGTGTCAAAGATGTTTACTGTGGTCTTCTGGAGCTCAATTGTCCATCTCTGAAGAACCCCCAGGAGAGTCAGCAACTCGACTGAGGTCTGTGGTAATCTTTCTAAGTTAACCTTCAGTCTCTGGTAATCTTTCTAAGTTAACCTTCAGTCTCTTCTTTCTTCCCGTAGCTGACATAATCCGGTGCCTGAATAATGCACTCCATGTGGGCTGTGGCGCATTTGCCTGTCTGGAGAATTCAACCTGTGACACCGATGGGATGTACGATATCTGCAGGTCCTTCCTGTTCAACGCTGCCAAGTTTGACACTCAGGTAAGCAGGGGTGAACTGACGTAACCCTATCTGAGCCCACAGAGTAGTGAGAGATCCACTCTCTGCTTAGGTCTGAGGTTTGTTGATTCAAGTCCCACTCCACAGACTCGCACCACAAAATTCCAGGCTGACACTCCAGTGCAGTTCTGAGGGAGTGCTGCACTGTCAGAGGTACCATCTTTCAGATGATAGTTTCAACCAAGACACTGTCTAATGCCCCAATAGGACATCCTGTGGTCTTGTTCTGAATGGGGTCATCTTCAGTGTCTTGGCCATGTACATATCCCTCAACCAAGTCAGTGAAACGTGATATTTGTGCATTATGTTGCTGTTATTGTTGGGAGCTTACTGTGGCTGTCTACTTCCCTGCATTACAGCAATCACAATACTTCTCAAGTACTTAATTAGCTGTTAGAGCGTCTGAGTGAAAGGCACTGTATCAACACAAACCTTCCTCAATATTTTTTAACATCTTGAGCATTATCTGAGCTCACTGCAGAGTGCTTAATCTAATTGGTGGTAGTGTTTCCCTGCTCCCTGCCAAAGGAAAGAAGGTCTGGTGGGTTCCATTGGCAATCTCATCCTCTCTCCGAGATTCTGTCCTCTCAGCTAGTGCCCAACTCTCAGGCATTGAAGACAAAGCCTCATCCCCACCTCACAGCCCTACAAATGTTTTTTCTTTCATTGAGTCAGCCTCTGCAGAGCAATCAGGAATGGGCAACAAAGGCTGGCTCAGCCGGTGACTCCCAAATTCAATCAAAACTGAGTGCAGCCCTCTGTGTCTCCTCAAACAGCAAGAATTCATCGTAACAAAAGGACACAGGCTGACCTAAGTTAATGTAGCTTGAACTGTAGGACTATCATCCGTAGGAGCATAACTAGGCCATTCAGCCATTGAGTCTGCTGTACCGTTTGGTGAGATCGTACCTGAGCTGATATCTTCAGCTTCACTTTCCTGTTTTTTCCCCCCATAACCCTCGATCCCCTATCTGTCGAGGTAAGTTATCAGGAAGGAAGGAATTTGGAACAAAAACAAACCTTGCTATTGTTGAAGCTTCTGATCGGAACCTTGTACGAAATGATTCTTTTAGCACCCTTTCCCAAGAGTCAATTGGCTGTTGCACAAATCTCGGGAGAAGAACTGACGGGTTTCTTTATGTCACGTAGGGAAAAGCCTTCGTCAAGGACAGTTTGAAGTGCATTGTTAACAGCATCACTTCTAAGGCCTTCTTCACCATTCGGAGATGCTCTACCTTTCAGAAGATGATTGCAGATACTCAGGAGGAGTGTTATAAGAAGCTGGACATCTGTACAATGGCAAAACACAACACTGCAGCAATAACAGAAGTTATTCAGCTCCCGGAGTATTTCAGGAACAGGTACATTGGAAATGGTGGCCATCAGAAGCCAATCCATAAAAAATTCCTGAAAGGGTGATTGATTCCAATGCAAATGTCATCAATTTCTGCCAATATGTTTGGATCCAATCTGTGACAAATCCAATTGCTAAGATCTACCACATCCTGATAACTTGCTCTGAAGTTTGTGCTCCCCAAATCCACCCCCCCCCCCCCCCCCCGCCCCCCGCCACCCTGCCATCACTGGGGAAGTTCTCTTCACACTCCCCTCTGTATTCTCTGAAATCACGGTGTTTCTGTCAATCATTGCATTCTCAAGTGGATGCTATGACTGATGAACATGAACGAGATGGACCCTAACCTTTAATAATCCTCCATTCCTATCAATGAAAGGAAAATATCTTTGGACTCATTTACTCCATCAGTTAGTGACCTGAATATTTTCTGTGTCAGTTTCAAGCTGTGAGACATTGCTTCTCAAAATATCTGTCCCATTTTTTTTATCACAATGGCCCCTTTCCTTGAAAATATACTTCATTCGTAAATTGTCCATTGCTAACTCTTCTGTCAGGTCCCTTTCTTACAGCACTGTAGGTGACATTCCAAGGGACCTGACAGAACTCACAATTCCAGTTATAATCACAATATTCATTTCACATTTCAAACACACAGCCCTGGTGTGGGGGAAGACTCCACAGTCTCCAGTTTCTGAATGTACAGGAGCAGCAAGGAGCTTGACAGTGACCCCTCCCCATTCTGAAGTCAGCAGCAGTTGCTCCAAGCCTGACTGTGCTCCCTCAGTGCCGGGCCTGGGAATGTCCCAGTCTTTGAGACTCAATCATCCACAGCTCTTTGCACTGAGAGGCCAGCAGGACGAGAGGACGTCTTTCCATGTGCTGAGCCTTCTGAAGCATCAGCTGAGGTTTCCCTCTCTGAATGTGACGCCCAGGATTAGCCCCAGGGAGGAGCACAGAGTGCTGCATCCCAGAGCTGCCTGGGTTTAACCTCAACACAGACCACCCCTCTTTCCCCCCCAGACCTGCTTGGCAAAAGCAGATGCCTGAGGGAGGTGGGTGAAGGTCTCTTCTCAAATGGGGGTCACTTCAAGAGTCTCAAGCTATGTTCTAATAAGGTTGTTACGACAGGCCAACAGATTGAATACTACCTGGCATTTTTGGCAAAAAAAAGACTCTGAATCATGGGATAACAAGGTGTAGAGCTGGATGAACACAGCTGGCCAAGCAGCATCAGAGTGGTTTACAGCACCGAAAAAGGCCATTTGACCCATCAGGTCTGTGCTGGTCCAAAACAACCACCTCACTATTCTGATCCCATTTTCCAGCACTTGGCCCATATTTCTTGGCATTGCAAGTGCATTTCTAAATACTTCTTCAATGAGATGAGGGTTTGTGCCTCTCCCATCCTTAGAGGCAGTGACTTCCAGATTCCCACCACCCTGTGAATGAAAAAGATTTTCCTCACATCCCCTCAAAACCTCCTCCACCTTCCCTGAAATCTCTGCCCCCAGGGTCATTGATCAGTCCTGTCTACCCTATCTCTGCCTCTCAATTTTATAGAGCTCAATTACGTCGGCTCTCAATTTCCTCTGCTCTAAGGAAAACAACTCCAGTCTGTCCAACAAAAACAGAAATTGCTGGAAAAGCTCAGCAGGTCTGGCAGCATCTGTGAAGAAAAATCAGAGTTAATGTTTCGGGTCTGGTGTCCCTTCCGCAGAATTTTAAACACCAAAATGTAAATACTGATTTGCCTTCACAGATGCTGCCGGACCTGCTGAGCTTTTCCAGCAACTTCTGTTTTTGTTTCTGATTTACAGCATCCACCATTCTTTTGGTTTTTATCCAGTCTATCCAATCTCCCTTCACCACTGAAACTGTCCAGTCCAGGCAACATCCTGGTAAATCTCCCTCTGCACTCTCTCCAGTGCTATCACATCCCTCCAATAAGGTGGATTCCAGAACGACATACAAAACTCTAGCTGTGACAGAACCAACATTTCACATGGTTCCAGCCTCACCACCCTATGCTTAAACTCAATGCCTAGGCTAATGAAGGAAAGTATCCCATCGGGTTAACCAATGAGCCTTCTAAACCAATTTGTCCACCTCTCCCGCTACTTTTAGGGACTGGTTGACATGCACATCTGATTCTCTGTGCTTTCCAGGGTCCTACCATTCATCATGTATTCCCTTGCCTTGTTTGTCCTGCACACATGCATCAACTCAGATTTATCCAGATTGAATCCCACTTGCCACTGATCAGCCCATCTGACCAATACAGTGTGGAGCTGGAGGAACACTGGAGGTCAGGCAGGATCAGAGGAGCAGGAGAGTTGACGCTTCGGGTTGGGGCCTTTCATCAGGATGGGTTGATGGCCTGCTGTGTTCCTCCAGCTCCTCACTGTGTTATTTCTGACTCTGGCATCTGCAGTTCTTGCTATCTCCGAGCCCATCTGACCAGCCTGCCTATATCCTCCTGTAATCTAAGGCTATCCTTCTCACTATATACTGCCCTACTAATTTTTGTATTGGCCATGAGCCCATTGATCAATCCTCGTTCATCCAAGTCAAAATGATTTATGCGTCCTGGACAGTTCAGATCACAGAATTCCTAGGGTGTGGAAACAGGCCCTTCGGCCCAACGAGTCCACACCAACCCTCCGAGCATCCCACCCAGACCCATCACCTATAAGCCGCCTAATCTACGCATCCCTGAACACTACAGGCAATTTAGCATGGCCAATCCACCTAACCTACACATCCTTGGTCTGTGGGAGGAAACCGGAGCACCCGGAGGAAACCCACACGGATACAGGGAGAATGTGCAAACTCCACACAGACAGTCGTCCAAGGCTGGAATCAAACCGGGGTCCCTGGTGCTGTGAGGCAGCAGTGCTAACCACTGAGCCACCATGCCGCCCATACACGTCACAAAAGTCATTTCCATATGTTGTGTGGCTCTGCAATGACCTACTTGCCTCTGCAGGCACACTGTGTGCTGTGTCAAAGTCCCATTTCAGTGACATCTCAGTGAGCTGTCAGTGCCTGACACAGGGAGTGCCATACTGTCAGCAGCTTTATCCTTGGAGCAGACTGTCAAACTCAGCTCTCAGCTCCCTGTCCGAAAGCCCCCACCATGTGAAGTGGACAAGGGCACGGAGCTGCCTCCTGCTGCCCTGGGCAACAGTCACAATGAGTAGACCAGAACAGATTTGTTGCTCCTATTTCTCTCTCTCTTCCTTTGTCCTGGCGTTTGTGGGATCCTTCTGTGCTGCAGTTTGGCTTCAAAGTTTCCTGGTGACAACAGCTTGAAACTAATTCATTGATTCATTTGAACCAATCCGAGGTTGTGCAGAGATCCAGAATGATCCAGGGTGGTTTTCAATTGCCTTACAAAATCTGCTAAGATTCAGAATTGGCTGGAAGTGCAAATGAAAACGGAGTTGTTCTGCAGTTATTAGTATGAAGATTGGGAACACAAGACCCGTTTTCGCAGGTGAAAGATGTGCTTTTTGTTGTGATAATAATCTGTTTTGAATTCAGCTTCTTAAAATGGCGTGGTTGAGCTGTCATTTCTGTCTGTCTGCCTTCAGATATTATAACAAGCTGCTGAAGATGCTGCTGGAGTGCGATGAGAGAACTGTGAGCATAATCAGGGAGAAAGTGATGGCCAGCCTGGGATCGCACTTGTCCGGTTTCATTAACCTGCTGCAGAGTGACCACTGCTTGTCCTCAATGCCACATAGCGCCGCCCGCAACAGACGCTCCGCCATCGAACCCCAGAAACTGCATCTCTTCCTCCGAAACTCCAAGGCAACCAGCCGCCTGGCTTCCAAGCTCTCGTCGAGTGAGAACGAATGATACTGGAGCAGGGGTGGGGTTGGAGAGCTAAAGAACGAGAGAGAGAGAGAGAGGGAAGGAAGGAGGGAGGGAGGGAGGAGGCCTCAACCCCGACCACAGCACCAAGGTGTCTTCAGTGAAACGGGTCCTGTTCATTTCTTGGCAGTTAACAGGGAGCAAGTGCCCACGTCCAGTTCAGCCAGCAAAAACCAAGTGGTGACTAGTGCATAAAATCTTTAAAGTGGCAAGTGCCAGTCCAACTACAAAATGCAAATACAAGTCAGGTCAAATCTCATCTCGGTCAAGCACTAGCCTTAACATCTCCAAATGCCCTTTGTGATTCCTCTGGTAGATTTTTTTTTTGTTAATTTGTTCACAACATGTGCACGCCGCTAGCGGGGCCAGCATTTCTGACCTATCCCTGATTGCCCAGAGGGCGGCTGAGAGTCAACCAAGCTGTTGTGGGTCTGGACTCACACGTAGGCCAGACCGGGTAAGGATGGCAGCTTTCCTTCCGTAAAGCACCCTGGTGCCCTTGACATTGTGAAGTGTTAGTGTTCTGCCTGTGCCAAAATGGGAGAGAGATGAGACCAAACCCAAAGCAGCCATCACGGTCAGACTGGGCATTTTCACTCAGACCTGATTCAGAGCCCTGCCTGAACCACAGACGCAGGGACATCAATTGGAGTACAGGAAACATTCAACTCCCCAGCATCACCGATATTTCTCAGTTCAGACATTCCCTGCATCAAGACTTCAGTCAGATTGTGTTAGGACATTTCAACCAGGGTCTGGCCAGCACAGGCAAGGCCCTTAGGGACCACATGTCAACAGGAAACTCCAGTCCCTGATGCAGCTCGAGGCAGTCACTTCCGTTAGGCCTGTATCTCCAGAAAGGCAGCAATCCTTAATAGGCATCCGAGATCTCATCAGAGATTGGGACTGCCCACACCAACTCCACCCAAGAGATGAAGAGGAGTCCCAAATGGTAACACAGAGAGTGCTGGAATTTGTCAGCAGGGTCTGTCAGGGGGAGAGGGGGAAGAGAGAGAGGGAATGTGTCAGCCCTGTGACCTCTCCTCTGAATTGGTGAAAGGAAGAATTGGAACAAGAGGTGGCTAGCAAAGAGACAGAAGTATTTGTTCTATTATGCACCTTCTGTAAAGTATTGCAACTACCTCTGGATTCACACTGAGTTCAACCATTTCAGTCTATGAACTCTGCCTCCCATTGACATCACAGGGATAGCTTCCTTTTCCGAGAGACAGTAGCCAGTCTACTTTAGGAACTTATCCCATCTCCACTTCCCTCGGGTCCTGTGCTTTTCCCTGTCCCTGACCTTCCCTGACCAGCCCTTTGCCCCCAGCCTACTAGATTTCTAACCTTCCAGGGAGAGATCACAAACCTGAAATGTTCATTCTGTATCCCCCTTTCCACACAGATCTTAACAATTAAAACCACTTCCCCTTTCTGGCACCTGTCTCAATCCAATTCATCAAATCAGCACACAGTCCTTCAGCCCATCAAGTCTGTTCTGGTTGTATGGAAGAGCTATCCAGGGAGTCCCAGTTGCAACAAGGCATTAGTCCAATCCCTTAAATAGCCCCAAACAGGCAGGGAGGCTGCTGCAGGTATTGGAGATATAACACACTGATTCACAGGTGAGGCATGTTTTACAAGGAGATTCCTTCAGAATCTAACACTCCATGTCAACGTCAGTGACATTCCATGCTTTAGTTCATCACTGTGGCAAGGAGGATACACAAAGGATTCAACATTGCTTTGGAAATGGAGCTGAATCCCCCCTTTTCCTCAGGGACACGCTGTTTTTAATTGGAGTTTCTCAGCTGGGGAGAGGTCTCACCTCTCAGGCACAACCCCTTGTCCTAAATAGGACTAAGATGGACTGTCAGGCACAATGCTGAGGGATATCTGCAGGGGAGCTGGCTTTCAGAGCATGCCCCATCTGCCTGTTCCAGTGGATGTTAAAGATCACACAGCACCATCCCAAAAGAAAACAGGAGAGCTTAACCCCGGTGTCCTGACCAATATCTAGGCCTCAGTTGACATCCCAAGGTCGTTGTCACATTGACAGTAAGAAGGGGTGTTGGCAGAACAGGGGTGTGGCTCTGGTTTCAATATCTCCCAGCTCAGAAGACGTACACTCTCTGAGGACCAGAGAGATTTTTTTCCAATCAACCTGGTCAGAGATGTTATGACACACTTCTGGAGGGGGCACAGGACTTGAACCTGGATCTTCTACTTCATAGGTAGGGACACTAGCATGGAGTCACAGAGACATACAGCATGGAAACAGACCCTTCAATTCAACCAGTCCAGGCTGAACATAATCCTAAATTAGACTAGTCCCACCTGCCTGCTCCTGGCCCATATCTGTCCAAACCTTTCCTATTCATGTACTTATCCAAATGCCTTTTAAACATTGTAACTGTACCCCCATCCACCACTTCCTCAGGAAGTTCATTCCACATGTGAACCACCCTCTGTGTACAAAATGTTCTCCTCATGTCTTTCTTAAATCTCTCTCCTCTCATCTTAAAAATGTACCCGGTAATCTTGAAACCCCTATCTTAGAGAAAAGACAACTGCCATTAACTCTATCTATACCTGTCACTATTTTATGAACTTCTATCAGGTCACCTCTCAAACTCCTGCGTTCCAGTGAAAAAAGTCCCAGCTCATCCAGCCTTCAAACCTTCCATACCTGGCAACATCCTGGTAAATCTCTTCTGAACCCTCTGCAGCTTAATAATATCCTTCCAATAACAGCGAGACCAGAACTGGACCCAGTACTGCAGAAGAGGCCCCACCAGTGTCCTGTACAACCTCAACATGATTTCCAACTCCTATACTCAAAGGATTGAGCAATGAAGGCAAGCGTGCCCAACACATTTTAACCACTTCCCCAAAACGGCACCCAACCCCTCCCCACCAACACCCCCATCCCCTCACTGATGATATGCACACATGAGCTCATAAAATACCCGTTGCCACACTTGCCAAAAACAATTGCACCACAGCTTGGTAGAGACTGGGTACTTTGGCCCGGGTGGGTTTAGCAGAGGGAGGGAGCTCATGTTGGTGTTGGGGGAGCATCTGGTCATGTCACTGTTTGATCTGGCTCACCCTCCAAAGGCTCCTGACATTAGAAAGAGGCATCACCCTCGTCCCACTGTCCCGAAACCCTCAGGGGCTGGACCATCCAAGATGGAGAGGGATAAGGAAGCAGAGATTTCAAAATACTGAAAGACCACACCGAACAAAGGCCACTGAACCCATTGGGAATCTGTTCTGCCAACCTGTGAGACCTTCATTGCTCTCGAACCGAATTCCAAAGATCCAACAATCCCACAGACCTTTGACCAACAAAGGTCAGCCCTCTCTGATGGATCAGGAACAATGGGTGCAGCATTAAGTAACCAGTTCCAAACTTCTGCCTATCCCTTCTCCAAGTGGAAACATTTTCATTGCTGAGAGACCTGGCCTTGTTTGTAGATAGTCACCCCAAGAGTTTTGAGAAGAGCTCCCACAATACTAAAATCTTCCATCAAAACAAAACCACCCCTTAACCTCCTGAACTCCAGGGAATGGATATGCCATCAGTGTGATCTGCCCTTTGTGGTTTAACCCTTGGGAGTGTGAGTATCATTGCAGTAATTCAGGCTAGACTCCCGACCACCCCTGGACAAACCTCCTTCATCCGTCAAATGTCACATTGCTGGCTGGAACATGGGGATAAAGGTGGTTAGGGGCTCCTGTGAAACACCGAGAAGGTTCCTTTCAGCTCAATGACCACATCAAGTCAAGTCGCAAAGCAGTAAGGGACCAACGGTAGGAAGGGAGTCACTGGCAGTCCCCATCTTCTGAAGACAGGGGCAACACTCTGGCACCCCTGTTCCACTGACAGGAGCTTTGCCTGTTTCCAGCACAGCCTGGGGTCGGGAGAGGAGGGCGGGTGGAGATTCATGATGAAAAGACAAAGTTTGTTTCGTATGTTTGACCATTCATGCTACAGTCCCTCCAGTCAGCTCACCAATAAATATGACCGAATGGCAGAGGAGCCATTCACGGTCTAAAATTTGGGCAAGGTACCAGCACCACACCACCCAACCTCCCATCTCAGTGGGGGCAGGAGGGAAAGTCAGACCATGACCCCCTTCCCCTCCTCCTCCTTCTCCTCCCACCAACAAAGCTGGCAATGATGGACAACCTTGCTGTTCCCAATCACTGAGACACCAATTTGTCAGGTGGACTCCCAACATGGTTCTCCTATTGTGCATGATTTATTTCTCTTTCCAGCGGCTCTCACTGAGTGCTTGGTGTTTCTCCTCATGCCTTGATTCCTGATGCAGCAACTGCACGATATCTCCCTGCGGGTCAGTGTTTGCATCTCGAAGGCTTCCTGAATGTTGTTGGCTTTTCGAACTTTGTGACTTCAACACGAAGAGTAGGTTCTCATTACTATGGTTCATTCCTATGGCAAATAAAGTCGCGGTGGCTAATCTCGTGCTCTCATTGTCTGTCTTGCACACCTACGACCAATTTCTGAGATTCTCATGTCCATCAGGTTGCCTGCACTCCTTCCTGTGTGTCACAGCAGGAGAGAAACAGCGGAGGTGAGGAACCAGTGACTCTCCGCATTGACCTGCCACCCTCCTGGGAGTGACACAATGGAAACCTTTCACTGATGAAACAAATGTCAGGATTTGACGTCTCTGACTGGGCTTTGGTGGGTATGCTCCAGAGTGCCGTAGGGGGAGGGAGATCCCAGGACTTTGACCCAGTGACACTGAGGGCATGTCCAATATCATTCCGAGTCAGGGTGAGGTGTGAACCAAATGGATGGTGGTGACATTCCCATTCCATCTCAGAATAGTATCTTTGCACTTTGGAAGTGCTGGTTGGTCCATTTACTTTCACTCCTTGCTAACCGCAAGTAACAGTTCAATGTAACTGAGTGGTTCACTGGGTTATTTCAGAAGGCAGTCCAATTACAAAAGCCACATTGCTGTGGCCCTTTCTTTTCACTCATTCACGGGCTGGCTAAGCCAGCAATTGTTGACCATCCCTCATTGCCCAGAGGGTAGTTTAGAGGAAACACAGAGAAACTATTTGCTCAGGTCAATGGGGTGAAGGTGCAAGTGTCAAGTTCAGTCTGTCAAGGCATCCTCTTTTTTTTAAATGAAGGGAACTGAAAAGTGCAAATTGTCACCCCCAGAAATACTGAGCACATCATGGGTCATTTTTAAAGAACCCCATTCATGAGGCATTTGGCCAATATTTATCACTCATCCCTAATTGCCCAGAGGACAATGAAGAGTAAACCTCATTGGTATGGGTCTGGAGTCACATGTAGGCCAGACCAGGTCACCCCTGCATTCTCCTGGTAAGTGTCTTGGATCACTGGCCGGAGAGAGAAACCCCTTCACATGGCATCCAAGTCAGACTCTCACCAACTTGTCAACTCAACTCGGTGAGCGTCACTGCAAATGCAGCGCACTGCGTGTGAAGCAATGGAGTCTGGCTTTCTGGAGGGGAATGCAAAGCACGCAAGGTCCTGAAGACAACCTGGTGTTTTTTTGGGAAGTTGTGCTTTCTCCTCTGGTGCAGTTCATTGTTACCTTGGAGGGTGTCACTGCTGGAGGCCAGAGAGACTGAATGAGGTAACATGAGCCCTGAGGCCAGCTCAGGTTCCTTGTCAAACTGCTGGCTGCAACATCTCCCTCAGTGAACTGACATTCAACCTGACGCAGGATCAAAAAAATACAGGAGCAGGAGCAGGCCATTCAGCCCTTTGAGTAACATCATGGCTGATGTGGCATGGGATTTCAAGCCCCCATTCCAGTCTGCTCCCATCTCCAGCCCCATAACTATCAACTCACTTGTCCATTAGCAATCTCTCAAACCCAATCCTGAACAGAATCAAGGACCAAGCCTCCACTGTTTTCTGGCATTGCACCAAACACTAACAGCTCACTGAGAGATGAAATTTTTCCTCATTCTTAATCCAGAACAGGAGATCCCATATTTTGAAACAGTGCGATAGCAAGAACTGCGGATGCTAGAGTCAGAGATAGTCAGTGTGGAGCTGGAGGAACACAGAAAGCTAGGCGGCACCAGAGGAACAGGAAAGCTGATGTTTTGGGTCAGGACCCTTCTTCAGATATGGAGAGGAGGAAGGGAGCTCAGAAATAAATAGAGAGGAGGGATAGGGCTGGAGAAGGTAGGTGAGATGGTGAGTGCAGGTAGGGAGTGGTGGGGATTGGTCAGTAAGGTGGGAGGAACGGACAGGTGGGAGAGAAGATGGACATTGTGTCATGTCAAGGAGGCGGGGATGAGAAACAGTGCACCTAGTTCTGGACACCCCACAAGAAGCAATATCTCCTCTGAACCATAAAGGTTTCAGCATCATTTGTTGGAGCAGCAACAATGTAAATTCTACAGGGACAAAGGATGGTTGAGGTGTTACCTCAGATGTAAAATCCAAGTGTTATCTTTGGTGAGTTTCAACAGTGAAGTAATGTTATTCACCACTCCTCTGAAATCTCCTCTTTCTCTGGCCTCTCTCTCTCCCTCTCTTCCTTTTCTCTCCCGTTAGCTCATTTCTGCAATGACAGCAAAGGAACAGTGCCACAGCTAGCGTGAGGTTGGGGAGCTGCAGAGAGTTGGGGTTCAGAGGAAAGACAGGGAAAAAGACAGACAGAGAAAGGCAGGAGGGGGTAGGAGACAGACACACACTGATGTTCCTTGTGGACCGGTTCAATAACAGTGACGAAAGCAACAGCAGCATCAACCATCACACACATGAAGCACATGCTCAGGGGCTTGATGACAATGAGACAAGTTGCGTGAAAGGGACAGAAAGAAAGTCTGGTTTCAGACTTAACACAGGGCTTCTTTTTTGGAATTTTCTGCTTGGAAAGAACCAAACTTCCCAGCCAGCCCTGAATCCTCAGAGAAATGACCTGCCCTCCAAAGCTGCTGTCATTTGCTGATAGGTGTCAGGGGCTGGGAGGAACAGGGTAATACAGTGACACAGACATGACCTTCCTCTGTTATTCACGACAGGGGCATGGCTAGTGCTGGCCAGAAGCCAAGGATAATCCTTGATATTGTGCAAAGCCAGCAGTAGCCGTCACTGTGAGGCCCAGGAACCCAGAGCAGCGAGAGATGGGAAAGAAGACACCAGACATTCAGCCCATCGAGTCTGCCCCACCATTTCAATGCCATTTCCCTATCCCATCCCCAGAACCTTGTGTATAAGCAGCAATGAGAAATCTATCAAACTCTACATTTTCAAAAGACTGAGTTTCCACAGTCCTCTGAGCTACAGAATCCGCAGGTTCACAATCCTCTGAGTTCAACCAAATTCTCCTCAGCTCACACCTCAGTGACATTTTAAATTGTGACCTGTTGTTCAGCATTCTCTAGCTAGGGGTAATATCTGACCTGCATCCACACTGTCCATCCGTTGAAGTATTTTCTAAGTTCCGATGAGATCACGTCTCATTCTTTGAAACTCCAGACATATCAGTCCAGTTTGCTCACTCTTTCTTCATGGGACAGTTCTGTCACCCCACAGACAAGTCTGGTGAACCTTCATACACTCCCTCTATGGCAAGAGTACCTTCCATGAGCTGACAACACCAAACCCACACACAGTCGTTCAGGGCCAGCCTAACCAAGCTCCTATATCAAGTCTCCTTCTGTATCCCAAATATCTTGGGATAAAGGGCTAACATTCCATTTGCCTTCCTAAAATCCAAAGCCAGATGCCTCAAAGAGTGAGGAATTTGCACCAACATACAAGACCTCAATCCCTGCTGATGCTTGTTAATATTGGGAGGGGAAGGAAGGAATCAATTGGATGGCAACAAGAATCGCATGTCCACCCCCCTACGAAGGGGGTTCGATTCCCAATGTCCCTGATGGTGTGTGGGACGGCAGACAGCTCACAGAATGAACCAAACGGTGGGTGCATATGAATCTGGTTTGAGGCATGTGGGAACCAACACAGAACATGCTGGAAAAACTCAGCAGGTCCAACAGTGGAGTGAAAACAGTGTTGATGTCTCAAGTCTGACATGATTCAGAGATATGTGGGGGCTGAGGAGAGCAGTGGAGTGATATGGGCGTCACCTCCAGCAGGTAACGTTCTCTCTCAGTAGAGACTGTCATGTTTCAATTGATCCGAGGGTAAGATGAAGTCCGAGGTCTTTAATCCCCTCAAGTCACAGGGCTCTGACTGGTGGTGGGGAGGGGGAGGGGGGGGGGGGTGTGCTCATTTCAGCTGACTCTGATATACAATACCAGCCTGGGCTGGTATTCAGTAACAGCACAGAAGCACAGTTCCTGTGCAGTGTCATGCTTCAAGTGGTCAAGGGGTAAGATGGAGTCTGAGATACCTTACCCACTCAGGTCACGGCGTTGGTACAGTGACAATGCCATGAACTTGTCTTTTTAATGGTCTACTGACCGTGACTGAACACAACAGTTCTGGTCACCCTATTATAGGAAGGATATTATTAAGCTGGAGATTTACCAGGATATTGCTGGGAATGGAGCATTTGAGTTATAAGGAGAGGCTGAATAGGCTGGGACTCTGTTTCACTGGAGCATGGAAGGTTGAGAGGTGGCCTTACAGAGGTTTATAAAAAAAGAGGGGTATAGATAGGGTGAATGGCAGATGCTTTTTCCTGAGGATGGGGGATTTCAAGACCATGGGCATATTTTTAAGGTGAGGAGAGAAAGATTTAAAACACGAGGGGCAAATATTTTTTACACATCAAGTGGTTCACGTGTGGAATGAACTTGTTTACAAGACATTTGGAGAAGTATATGAATAAGAAATGTTTGGAGGGATATGAGCCAAGCACAGGCAGGTGGGACTAATTTAGTTTGAGAACGTGGTTGGCGTGGACTAGTTAGAGGGAAGGCTCTGTCTCTGTGCTGTATGACTCTTATGACTCTATAACAGGGAGTGGATGTTGATTAAAAAAAAGGATAGCTGTATCGACACTCTGACAACAGCTCTTGAGACTGTGTAGAAGGAGCAATGTAATGGTCAATACCAGATCACATGGTACTGAGGCTCAATGGAAGAAGGTACTTGGCAAGTCTTGGCCTGACCTATATATGGTATAACGGTTAATCAACCCTCACACTCTCGCTCTAGCTGCTGCAAGCTGTGAATGCTGCTTTCAGAGAGGGCTGTTCACCGTAGGCAATCATCCCATCAATAGAGCTGCCCAGAGATGACAACCTGAATTGTTGGGTTGGGGGTGTGTCACATGCTGAAACCAGGCCTCAGCTCCCTTTCCCAGGTCAGGTTGGTGAAACACATCCAATGGCTGGAGGTAGAACACCAATGGTCACAAAACAACAACACAGCCTGCCCCCAGCACCACACCCCATCATCACCAACACAAACATGACACCCAGGCACACCACAGGGAGATGTCAGGACCAGAGAGCAACAGCATGGTCAAACAGGGATGCTTGAAGAAGCAGCTTCCCCAAGGTGAGGCAGGTCAGGAGGAGGAGAGATTCAGGCAGAGATTTTCCAAAGCTTAGTGCTCAGGCAGCCGCAGGCATGGCTATCTACAGTGGAGCGATGGAAACACAGGGTGGACAAGAGGCCGGTATCCGAGGATAAAACAGATCATGAGAATCTGGTCAGGGGCTGGAGGACATTCTCGAGATAGGGAGGGTCAGGGCTGTGTAAACAAAGACTAATTTTGAAAGGAACGACACCTTTGACTTGATGATGGAATGTTTCAATTCTATCTTTGGGATGTTGCAGAGAACTCTCTCTGCACTGTCTGCTCTGATGAAGGCAAATTTAAAACAGTTTGCAAGACACAGAAAGATATATTTAGTCCACTCTCAAACCTACCTTTTACTCTTTGGCCTGTAAATGTCAGTCAGGAAAGGCCACAGTAAGACAACAAGATCAGAATGACCAAGAACTCTTTTACCGTGAAGGTCACATGGTGGCAAAATCCATCAAAAAGGAGCCTTTTTTTTGCAATTATAGTTTCCATCATGGTAAGACTGGCCTGTGCTCTTTACTAACACCCTCCACTGCGAGTGAGCAGCCTGTCTCCTTTGATTGCACTGTTTAACAAAGAAATGAGCCAAGCAAACCTCGACTGGCCTGGGGTGAGCCTTGGTTTCGCAGCAACAACTTGGATTCATACAGCCCCTTTCACACTGTTACCTGTCCCATGCGCAAATGAGACATGAGATTTTAAGCCTCATAAGGGGATAGCAAGGCGGGTGATGAAAGGTTTGGTCAAAGAGGTTGCTTTTAAGAACTTTCTTAGCAACAAGAGAAGGGATAAGGACAGAATTCCAAGCTGTTGGACCTTAGCTCACAGCATTCTGGCCTGAAATCATCACAGGTACCCACTCTTAAGTGAGCCTGATGTCTCACAAGAGACCACCATGTATCTCAGAAGTAACATCTCAAGTGAAGTTAAATGGAACAACGCAATGTCCTGGTCAGCAGGATAAAGCCTTGCTTCTCCTGAGGATATTGTGTGGACAACCTTCCCCACCAGATTTCTGTGCTTCAGACACAAATGCGCAACTTAATACCTGCAATCAGAAAGTGGCTGATTTAGGCACAAGGAACTGATTCTAAACAAGAATACGACACGAAACAAGCCAGGGCTAACTCAGAGAAGTAAAACACTGTGGATGCTGACAGCCTGAAATATAAAGCAGGAAACACTGGAAAAACTTGGGAGATCTGGCCACACCCGTGGAGAGTGAAACAGTTTGGGAACTGCAGTAGAATTGATGAAGTTCTGAAGAAGACCTGTTTCTCTCTTCACAGATGCTGCCAGAGCTGCTGAGTCTCTCCAGGATGATTACTAACCTTTTCAGCTGATTTCAGTGTAATCAGGACTGGGCGCAAAGATCGGCAAAGTGTTCAGACCTCTTGTGAATGGAGACAAGGTGATATATCAAAGCTACAGAACAGAAACTCTCAGGGGAACAGGATCAAAGATGCACGTATGAAATCTCCAAGGTACTGTGGGGATAAATTGTGTTTTGCTTTACTCAGAACCCAGCTTCCAATATTTCAATTTCCCCCATTTCTTTCAGAGGAGGCCCAAAGATCTGCAAGGAAGCCAGGTTCAGTGAAAACAAGGAACTTGCACTCACAGCATGCCTTTTGCATCCCACCAAAATCCCAGAACAAGCCTCCAACCAGTCAAGTCACTTCCAATGTGTAATTTGGGAAACACAGCAGCTAATGTGTGCATAGGATGCTCCCACAAACAATAAAACAGTTTAAAGGCAGAATGCTGCAGAAGTTGGAAATGTGAAACAAGCACAGAGAATGCTAGAGAAACTCAACAGGTCTGACAGCATCTAGAGAGAGAGAGAGACAGAGAGACAGTGAATGCTTTACGTCCAACACTTCTTCAGAACTGAAAGGGTTTGGAAAATAGGTATTTTCCAATCCCTTTCAGTTCTGAAGAAGACTCACACAAGACTGGAAATGTTCTGTGTGTTTTTCTCTCTGCACAGATACTACCAGAGCTGCTGCTGAGTTTCTCCAACAATCAGAGGAATTCAAATTAACCTGGATTTCTGGTGTCAGTGGGGGGCTAACTGTTGACGCCCAGTTGAGAATTGACTGCCCAGTTCTTGGAAACAGTACTGGGGATCTTCAGCTGACAGGGCCATGGTTTCACTCCTGCGCCAAGAGAATCCTCTCAAATCAGCTGACAGGTTTTGCAATGGCAGGGCTGGGCCACCTGTGACACCGACACCAAATTAACAGGATGGAACTGAGACAAAGACCTGAATTGATGTCAAATCATTCATATTGTCTCAACTGTGGCAACGAGTCCAATAGAACAGACTCTTAGTAAGTGAGTGTCCAGATCTCTGCCTCTGCAAAAACAAGAACTTATCTCCTTCTTTAAATTCAATTCAACTAATCTCCAGTGTCATTAACATCAATGATCTTGTTTCTGTCTTCAGCTCTCTGACTTGTCGTGGATCCAAGCGGGATCAATGCATTTAGATGCTTCATCTTTCAGAAACAATGCATGCAAGACACAGCAGACTGCAGCGAGGAAGGAAGCTGGGATTACTCCTATACTCTACTGGGCTCTGCTGGGGGATGCTGGAGACCTGTAATCACAACACACGGAGTACTACAGAAACTCAGCAAGCCTGGCACTATCTGCTGGGCTCAAGTCTCTCTCTCTCTCTCTCTCTTTCTCTCTCTCTCAAGTATCTCCCAGGTATTTCTTTAGGAAACAAGTGTACTGCAACAAACACTAAAACTGCCCTACAGCTGAGGGAAAACTCATGGGTTCTTTCAGACTCTTGAGTTGCCCCTGACTGCCTGGACCTGCGGCAACAGAAATTCACTGGAATTCATTGCCACAGACAGTGGTTGAGGCCAAAATATTTTGTGTTCAAGGAGGAGGAAGATGTAGCTCTTGTGGCTAAAGAGATCCAGGGCTTTGGGGAAGAAGGGCAGGTTAAGGATATTGAGCTCGATTATTAGCCCTTATCGCACTGAATGGCCTACTCCTGCTCCTGTGATCCGACGTGGAGGTTTGGCACCCAACCTGGTGTCAAGTTGTCCAGCAGTACTGCTGGACAACACTAAGTGGCAGCACAACACTGCAAATCCTTTCTCGTGTTTGATCAGGACTAGGCTCTCTCTATCTCCCTCTCTCTTGGTGTCAGTGGATCCGGTCCCCTGCTCAGACATTGGTCTGTGAGGGAGCGGAGAGGGTGCAGCCGAGAAACGTCTGCAGCAGACAGCGCAGTGATCACTAGTTCCTCTTCGATAAATGTGCAGATGGAAACCCAGCATAATACCAGCCTCTGAGCTGTAGCTTCTCCTCTGTCCAGACATAGAGTGAGATCAAGCTGACAAAGTTGGCTGAGGGCTGGAGTATGTCTGATATCACCCGAGTGATATTCTCCAGTGTACTCGCTCCTCAGAACTCCACACAGCACATGCCCTGATTCCCGCTGCCATGTAGACTGAGAGAGGCAGGTTTTACTCCCACAGCACGGACAATGGGAACAAATCCCACTGCTCAGCAGTTTCGTGCAAAGTCTGTCTGCATGCGTGGATCTCACACAGTTCTCTGTTCTGCAGCAAATTCTCGAAGGAGCCCTTGTCTTGGTAATGGGGATGGTGGGTGCGGTGTGTGGGGCATTGCTGCGTGAGGGTTTACTCTCTCTGTCTACCTATCCGGAACAATACGTTTCTTCAATCTCCATGTATGATTCATTCTCAATGACAGCCTCCCTCACTCTGTCACTTCCCTCAGTGTCCCCCTCCCCACTCTGTGACCTCTCACTCTGTCTCTCCCTCCCTCTGTGTGATTTCTCTCAGTCTCTCTCCCTCCCTCACGCGTCACTTCCCTCAGTCTCTCTCCCTCCCTCACTCTGTCACTTCCCTCTCTCTCCCCTCTCCCTCACTCTG